CCCTCCCTCCCTCCTAGAGATTAAATCCAGGGCCTTGAATACACTAGGTGAGTGCTCTACTTCTGAGCTACACCCTAGCTTTTTAAAAATTTCATTTAAGATAGGGTATTGCTGGATTGACCAGGTTGGCCTTGAACTTGTGAACTTCTTGCTTCACCTTCCCGAGTAGCTGGACTTGTAGGTGTGTACCACTGGGCCATGGTAAGAGCTATGTAATTTTTTTGCCCAAACTTCCGAGGGTGTCCCCAGCCTATGAGAGCAGATGAAGTCACATTAACAACAAAGATCCTGACTGCAGCATCTTAGACTCCATGTGCTTGGGACGGACATCAGCCCTGCAGAGTGCTCCTTGGGCATCTGAGGAGCATGTTTCATGTGTTCCTGGTGGTGCCACTGTGGTCAGACACATGCCACAGGACTGCTGCCCTTGCAGTGCTCAGGTCTGGAGTTGTCTGTGGTAACCATTGTAGAACTTTTTGCTAGAGAGTCCCCAAAGTCTCTAACACAGAAGGTTCTTTTTAGAGCTATTTTGGTCTCCACTGGGTTTGGTGGGGGCTTTTTGGAAGCAGAGTTGAGCCTGAGGCAGGTACTCAGTCTTGCCCTTTCTTTCTCCAAACTGGAAGAGGAAGAGGAGGAGGAGGAGGAAGAGGAGGAAGAGGTCAGCTCCTCCATTCCTGGCCTTCCATTCCCTTCTGATGAGTTCTCCAAAAGCATCTTCCTCTTTGAAAATAGGCTCTGCTAGCCGCATCTGGCCTCATCCACTTATCAGAAAGGTCTGAATTCCCTTCTGGAATTCCTACCATTTAAGACTTTCTGCTGTGATAAGGACCCCACCCCCATCAAAGTGTGTGGGCCAGTCTGATCTCCAGGAGGCACTACTGCCCTCTTGGGGTTATTACTTGGATTGCTCAGGGAGCCCCCAAATCCTTCTTGTCACCATATTACTATGTTTACTAAAGAGAAGTTTTTGCCAACCCTCCAGAGCCGAAACTGGTTGCAAGACTCTTGCTCCATTCAAAGGCAATGGATGCAATTCTGCTCAGCCCTGACCCAAGAGGCGGTCCGTGGGCTCTGGTCAGAGCCACAGGATTGCCCAACTGCTGCAGAGACTCTGGGCACTCCCATCCCAAGAGCGGATGGAAGCAAATGCCTGTTGGGACACACAGTGTGCTCTAGAAATAAACCTCTAGAGCCCGGGCAAGGCAGCTAACTGACTTGTCATGGAGAGAGGTCCACACTTCTTCTGAAACAGGTTCCTCAGAAACACAACAAGTAGGTGTCCAGTGGTGACAAGCAATTTGTGTAAGCCTTCTGGGCCAGAGCAGGGGAAGTGATCTTATCCTGTGGTCAGCTTTTCCACTGTCTTTATCAAAGTCTGATTGAGCATGGCACAGTCACCTGCTCTCAGCCCTTGCCCCCAGGCACTCACAGTTTGGGATTACCAGACCACACAATGATCAGATCAGAAGGGCAAAGAGCCCCAGGCCTCCTCTCTTGCCCACCAAACCCATTCTTCCTGGAGAGCAACTGGGACTTTCAACTATTATCGGGGAGAAGCACAGCACACAAAGTCTTTGGAAAATATAGCTGGTCCTTCTCCATCCCTGGTTTCTGCATCCAGGAATTCAACCAAAGAGGATTGAAAAAATATTTTTTAAAATTTCATCATAGGAACTATTGGCATTGCATTTTCACTGTATTAGTTATTATAATTAATTGGGAGAAAAAATAAAATAAAATAAACAGGAGGGATGTGTGTAGGTTGCATGCAAATACTATGCCATTTTATGCGAGGGATTTCAGCATCCTCAGATTTTGGTATCTTCAGGGAGTCCTGAAACCAATCCCCTACAGAGAGAGACTAGTTTGGCAGGTTTGTTTGCTTGTTTGTTTGTTTTTTTAGTGTTGAACATCTTCCTACTCTGTGATCCAGCCATATTTAGGTATTTGCCCAAGAAAAATGTAAATACATGTCTATACAGACTTGTGCATAGAGGAACCCTATTTGTAATAGTCCCAAGCTGGTAGCCATGCAAATGGGAAGCAACAGGAGAATATATAAACTACTGGTGAAGTGTTTGTAAATGTGGAGGGTAGGAGTGGGTGAAGGGAGGGCAGGGACAAGGGGAAAAAATGAGAACCAAGACCTGTCATGTAAAGGTACAAGATCCCAATGATGAATGTAATTGTACTGTATACCTAAAAATGTACCAATAAACTCAATAAAAAATAAATAAATGAGAACCAAGACCTGTCATGTAAAGGTACAAGATCCCAATGATGAATGTAATTGTACTGTATACCTAAAAATGTACCAATAAACTCAATAAAAAATGAATAAATGAGAACCAAGACCTGTCATGTAAAGGTACAAGATCCCAATGACCAATGTAACTGTACTGTATACCTAAAAATGTACCAATAAACTCAATAAAAAATAAATAAATGAGAACCAAGACCTCTCATGTAAAGGTACAAGATCCCCATGATGAATAAAGCTGTACTGTATCCCTAAAATGTAGCAATAAACTCAATGAGAAAAAAAATTAAAAATAAACTACTTGCGGCATATTCGTACAGCAGGGTACTACTCAACAATAGAAAAGAACTACCAATAAATGTAGCAACGGGGCGAATCTCAAAATAATTATGCCGAGTGAAGAGGGCCAGACAAGAAGATTTTTTTTTTCTGTATGATTTCATTTATGCACAATTCCAGGAAGTACACATTTGTCTATGGTGACAGGAAGCAGGCTCCGTGATGGCTTGGGCATGGAGGCAGGGAGATTACAAAGAAGCCGAAGGAATCCTCAGGGAGCCCCCAACTCCTTCTTGCCGCCGTATTTACTATGCTGAAGGAAGTGCCTGAACCTGGATGAAGACTTCACAGTATCAAAGTCAAAACCCATCACATTTATGTAATGTTTATTGTCAGTAGCGCCTCAATAAATCTGTTAAAAGCAAAGCAAAGCAAAACAGAACAAAATGAATCAAACGGATCTCTGAAACAGGTTCCGTGGGAAGCCGCTGAAGAAGTGCATACATGCAGGCTGTGCTGCTGTGAAGGGTGTGGAGTGGGCATCACGGCTGGGCCAAAAGGGAGGGTGGAGAAGTGGCAGAGCCCAGGGTGATTCGTGGTCACGGATTTGCGGAGCCTTGAGGGACTTCATAGAGAGGCTGGAGCCCATTTCCCTCACATTAGAGACCAAGCCCTGAGAGCCTAATGTGTATCCACCCGGCTCTTCCATTGGTGGGAGATGCAGGGCTGGAACTGTCAGCTGACTGCCAGCCGCTGCTTCCGCCCACTCCGCAGTGCTTTTGCAGCAGCAAAAGCTGCTCAGCAGCTTCTAGAAGGGAAGGCTGGACAGACAGAGGGCTGAGAAGAGTGAGGAAGGGAGTAGACTGGTGTGGTGGGGGGCGGTCTTGGTCAGGTGATCTGAGCTTCTCATCCCTGGACACAGCATGGGCAGCAGCGCCCTCTCTTCTTGTAATCAGCAGAGCAGGCGTGGCAAACCAGGCCTCCACAATGCCTGGAGGGCAGAGGTAGGGAAACCTAGATAAGTGCTGGGAGTCATGAGTTCCAGCATCTTTGAGTCCATCTGTCCTTTCTAATCTCCTAGTGGGACGGCCCCTGGTTTGTCCCCTTTCCTGATGCCCTCGACCTCTGAGAGCCTCTATCCCCGTATGGTAGGTTCTCCTGATGGCCTGTTTCCTCCTGTTCCTCATCCTGCCACCATGACAGCAAGAGGAAGGTGAGGACAGCAGCTCTCTCTGTGTTTCCCTATCCAAGAGCTCAGTTGTCTATTTTTGGAAGGGTACACAACTCCCGCTCCCAGACCCCAGCCTTCTTTCCCTCTTCCTGCTGTCTGGTTCATCACCCTCTTTGGTGTCGAAAACCAGACACCAAGCCAGAGTGGCCCGCTGAAATAGCTTTTTATAAATGCCCAATTTCACTGTTCCTTCTTTGTCTGGGGCAGGCAGGGAGCTCTGGGCTGTCCCAGAGGAAGGAGTCTGTACCTTCCCATTACCTGCACGGGTACCTCCGGGACAGTCGGCTGAAGACCTTGCTACAGCCAATGCAGCAGCTAGGGACCAAGCAGGAGAGCTTCTGGAGCCTCTGCCACTGGCGGTCCTTCTCCCTAGGGGATGGGCAGATGTGGACTCACACAGAGACCAAGAGGTCGAGGAGAGCAGAGAGAGAAATATGGAGGGAATGAAAGAGGAAGAGAGAGATGGATGGAGAGGTGACAGAGGGAGGCACACAGAAGTATACACAGAGACAAAGTGAGACAGACACCAGGACACTCCGAAATAGAGAAGGAACAGAGGAGCGAGCGAGAGAGAGAGAGAGAGAGAGAGAGAGAGAGAGAGAGAAAATGAGATCAGAGAGTGGAAGAGGGAAACAGACGCACAGAGAAGGAGTTACAAATGCACATGGAGAGAAAGAGAATGCGATGTAGAAATGGAGGAACAGAGACATAGGCAGCGAGAGAAACGGACACAGATGAGAGACAAAGAGACACAGGAGGAAGAAAGAGAAATGAAGAGAGACACACACAGTACAGATAGTCGTTAGCCTTTGGGAAGGAGCATGGTGACACTCAGCTCCCCCGGCCCAACAGTTCTGACCATTGTTAAGAACCTGTTCTCCCCCTCCAAAGCAGGCTCCCTGGTCTGTTCTCACTCCACAGGCTGATAACATAATTGGCCTGTTATCTTTTATTTGGCCGTTAAGACTGCTTTGAGTTTATTTGTTTATGCCCTTGGAAAACTATCATCACATTTTTTTTTTTAAAAGGATATTTAGATGGCTGGCAATTTAGCTTAGTGGTGCTGCGCCTGCCTTACAAGCACAAGGTCCTGAGCTTAATTCCCGGTAGTGGCGGGGGAGTGGGGGTATTTAGGAATACAGGCTGTTTTAAATTTTTGGCAAAAATAAAACACACACAATTTAAAACTCAGATAGGGCTGGGGATTTAGCTCTGGTTCCAGCACCTGCCTCAGAAGCACAAGGACCCAAATTCAATCCCCAGTACCAAAAAAATCCCCCCAAAGACAACAACAACAAAAAACTCAGATAGTACCGAAGGGTTTATAACAAACTCCTTCCTATTTTCAGTGGCAAACTATTTCTTACCCTTTTTTTTTTTCTCCTTGGTATTACCTTCATTTTTAGTTAATATGCTCATATCCCTGCCTGATTTTCCTTTCTTTGGTAGCAGAGGACTCAGCTTTTTTTTAATCTTCATCATTTTCTTCTCTTCTTTCCTCTCCCTGCTGCTCTCCTCCTTCCTGTTCTTCCTAACTTGCCATCCATTCCCGAAGCAGCCAGTATGGTAGCGACTTGCCCAATGTCTCTACTCTAATATACATGAACTCAAATTAAATACAATGAATACTTCACTTTCTCAGTTGCACCAGCTTACTGTTTTAAGTGCCCAATCCCTACATATAAGCACAAATATAGAACATTTTCATATTCGCAGAATATTTTATTTGTACCTACTACATATACTTCTGGATTGCTCAGGTGGTAATATTCATGGTCTGTTTCTATAATTATACTTAGCTCTATGCTTTGTCTTTAGGTTGAGTCTTACATTGAAAAAATAAGGGGTAGCTTAGTGGTAGAGTTTGTCTAGCATGAATGAGGCCCTGGGATTGATCCCTGGCATCACACCAAAAAAAATGGGGACAATCACCCCCAAATGGATAATATATATATATATAATATGTAATATGATATGTAATATATATATATTATATAATATATATAATCTTCCCAAAGAGCTAAGTTGTGTTCTAGAATAGTTCCCTTCTTGAGAGCCTTTCGTTTTTCTGGGAGTTTCTAATTGCCTTCCTTTACTTTGAATGACTTGCCTTTAACATATTTGTCTCCCAATTTTTCCTGTCAAGTATTCTTTTGAGTCTCCTCTTCCCCAGAGACCTTCTTCTTCCTGAGCTCTAGATTCCTGTTTTACAGTCTAGACTGACTGCTCCCTGGGCTTGCTGCCCACTTGTCATCTTGGGAATTCCCTTTTTTTCCCTCCTAGATAGAGCTATTGTTTCCTGAATTCCATATCTTCTTTCTTGGCTTACTTCCTTGTTTTTCTGGGGCACATCCTCAAATAACTTCCAAAGAAATACAGTGTGGGAGATAAGATTTCTGAGATCTGTCTGTCTGATAGATGTCTTTCTCTATTACTTTTCCCACTTAAAATTCATGCTTTGGCTGGACACAGAATTCTAGGGCAAAAGACAGCTTTTCTCAGAGCTGGAATAGTATCACCACATCATAGATCTTTGACAAGTGTTGGGTTCTGCTTCATTTATAGGTGGCCTGTATTTTTCTTTAGAGAGTCTGAAAATATTCTCTTTAATTTTGTTTTACTGAAATCCCAGTGTTTTATACAGGTGAGGTATTGTTTGTTTTGTTTTTAATTTATTATGCCAATCACTTAGTGTATCATTGAAATCTGAGATCTGTGTCTATCAGGACTGGAAACTCTTGTATTTTTATCTTTGTCGTATTTTATTTGATCATTTCCATCATTTTATTTTGGCCTTTTAGGGGAACTTCTGTCAGTTAGGGAGGATAATGGAACCCCTACACTGATCATGTTTCTGTTTCTCTCATAACTTCCATCTCAGGTTTTTTGTTTGTTTGTTTGTTTTTTTGTTTGTTACCGGGGCTAGAACTCAGGACCTTGCACTCATGAGGCAAGCAGCAGAGCCACTGAGCTAAATCCCCAGCCTCTGTGCTGTTTATTCTGCTTTCTGAGAGCTTGCCTCATCTTCCCCTTCCAATACTTAATGACTTTCTTAAAAATTCAGCAAATGTATTTTTAATTTCCAAGAACACTTCTCATTTTTGACAGTTGGTTTCCCAGCTTCCTGTTTCAGGGGAGATACATGTTTGTTGTTCTTATTGGTCTGTTTATTTTCATCTGTCCTTTTATGGTCTCAGCTCTCAAATGTCTAGGGATCTGGGGTTGCTATTTCATGTTTAAGAAGCAGGCCACAAAAACTGGTTGGCGCTCCAAGTAATGGACAGGGATATCAACAAGTGGTTTCCCTGTAAGTCTCACTTGGCAGGGAGCTACATGGTATACCAGACCCCACCCCCACCCCATGCTGGGTCAGAATGGTGTTCTACTGGGGATGTACACATTTCTTTAGAGAGGAACTTTTGATTATTTGTCTGGGAGACAGGACCTTGTTGCTGAATATTCTGCAGGTGAAATGGCATGCAAAGGAAGGAAGGGTAGATTTGCTATTGACTTTATCACTCATTTTCCTTCACCATCTGTGTCCTAGGGTCTCTCGGTCTTGAAGATCTAAGTTGGGCTTCATACAGTATTCAGAGTATCTGGAAAGTAACCCAACTCTCCTCTGTGATTGGGTTCTCCACCTTTCTTATTGTAGGTTTTATTCTTTTACAACTATTTAGTAGATATTAGGATGGAGAATGGATGTATGTGTGTGTGTATTTGTGGTGAGATCATAGGATGGAGAATGGATGAAGTGTATTCAGTCCACCATCTGTGAGTGTGTGTGTGTGTGTGTGTGTGTGTGTGTGCATGCACACACACATGTGAGTGTAATACTGGGGATTAAACCAAGCTTACACTGAGATACACCTGTAGACCTTTTATTTTTATTTATTATTTTGAGACAGGTGTCTCTAAATTGCTGAGTTGTTAGGCTGAGCTCAAATTTGTGATTCTCCTGCCTTATTATCCCAGAGTGCTGGGATGACAGGCCTGTCCTAGTCCACCATCTTGACACAGAAGCTAACCTCTGTGGCTCCCTCCCCTCCTTTTGTTGGCTAAGGGTCATAGCTTCCATGAAGTTTCTGCCAGGGACATTGCATTTTATGGCTTTGAGTTCCTTGCCTGAGGACTTGTGATTAATTTCTTTAGTTCCAGGAAAAAACTTATGTTCTCCTGATGAGCTGGTATATTCCTTTGAGTGTATAGTGGGTTTTGAGTAACACTCTGTCCTCCCTTTTTGATCCTGCTGCCAAGATGTTTGAAGTTGAGTTTTTTAAAATTATTATTTTTATACCAGGGATCAAACTCAGGACCTTGAGCTTTTGAGGCAGGCATGGTACCACTGAGCTAAATCCCGGGGGCCTAGAGTTGAGTTTTAAAACTAAACCTAATCCTAACACTTTGGGAGCAGAATACACTTTTTGTCTTCCATTATATTTTCCATTTAATCTATTTTTACTTAATGGTCTCACATGTGTCCTTTATTGTGAGCTACTTTAATTTTTTTGTGAAATAGTTAACTTTTTATATCTCCCTTCCTCCTACTCAGTGGCAAGTTAGTTCCTTAGAGGGTTTCATTCCTTAAAGTACTTGTCCATCCTTCCCAAGCTGATCTGTCCCTTTTCTCATCTTTAATATTTGGCTTTTGTGGAAGAGGACTTAATTCTGGATGACTTCCCATCAACCTCCTAATTTTAATGGAACCTGAGCCCAATGGGCTCCTGTTTCCTCAGCTACATGAAAGGACATATATGTGAATTGTCTCCAGTTGTCTCCAGCTGAGGGGTAGAAGCTATGTCCATCTCTCTGAGAGCTTGATGGCTTAGAATTGACCCTGGTGAGCAGGCCCAGGCATCTGAGGGAGGCCAGTGGTCAGGCAGGTATGGGGCGTATGATAACCTCTTGGTTAATCCCTGTGGTTTTCTTCTCCTTTTTCCAATACCTTCTCAAACCGGGAGCTCCTATCTCCTCTCCTAACCTTAGTAGGTGTGCATGTGTGTATGTGGAGGTGGCTTGGGATGAGGACCTGCATTATTGCCAGTAATATTGCAGAGGACTCTGCAATTTATACGATGTGTGTCCTTGATGACCGAGTCAGCCTCTCTGACTCTCAGTTTCCTCACTTGTAAGATGGGGATATCAGCAAGGGACGGCTAAAAGGAGGAAATGAGTTAGCATACGTGAAGATCTAGAACCCTGCTTGGAAGTTGTTGTGGAGTTAAACTTTCATGCTGGGCCTTTGCATCTCTTGTCATTTGCAGTTCCCTGTCTCTGTCCTTACTGAATCAGTTCCAGCATCCTCCTCTTCATGGCCTGGATCAGGTCCCGCTGTCCTCCAAGCTCCTCCTTGTACATGGCGTCCCTCCTCTTGGCCTCCTGTTGCTTCTGCCCCAGCTCTGCCTGCAGCTGGGCTCTCTCCTCTTCACACCTGGGCACAGAAGAGAGACTCAGTTCTGAAGGGGAAAAGCTGAGCATTTAGACCTCTAGGCCCTGGGGAGAAGATGGTGGTGCCACCCTGCAGCTAAAGTCCACACACACACACTCCAAACCGACCACTGTGTGTCATCTAACACCTACAGGCAATCTCTTCAGTAACTGTTTAGAGAAATGAAAACTGGGCCTTGCCTGGAGCCCTCCTGTAGAGGGGACTAACCAACATTGCCATCTTTGGTTCCTTTCTTTTTAATTAACATTTCCATTTTTAAGATGTAATTTTCTTGAAAGATATGCTCATAACCATGGCAGCTCTCTAGGGAAGTGGCTGCCTGGGAACCCAGGCTACTTAGACTGTGCCCAGCTGGAAGCAATTATGTGTGGAGGGGAGCAGTGTAGGTTTTGATTTTTCTTTTTTTTGCTTTAAAATAGTTTTAAAAGTTATGTTGTGTTATTTTTCAATTTAAAAAGTGATGGTAGAAATATGGCTTTCCCACATTTCTGTTTCAGTTTTGGGCCTGGAACTTCGTCAGCTCTATTCTTGCCTTTCCTTTTTGCCCTTAGTGGTTTTCTAGAAGTCTACTGAATTGGAAATGAAAAGGTCCCAGCCTCTAGCTCTGCGGCTCTGTCAGGATGGTGCCTGGATGGGAGTGGACACTGGTGAGGGCCTCACGCCTCAGGATGCACGCTCGTGTGGCTGTGTGTGTGTGAGTGCCCCTGGGCTTCAGTGTATCAGAAGGGAAAAGGTTTGAAAGAGCCTTAACAATGATAGAACTATTAATTTTTAAGCCACCGCCCTTTAGTGAGCTGCAGGAAGGAAAGTTGGGTGGGTCATGAAATCAAATGGACAACAGCCATTGAAATTTCAATAAGTTGCCACGGCGGCCTTTAGAGTGTTCTGGTGCTCAGGTCTGAACCAGGCCACTTTTGGACTTTTAATGAACCTTCTAGGGTGCAGCCTCCTTATTTCCGAGCTGCTGACACTGATTCCCCTGAGTCAGTTTACTTGCTCATGTGACCACTGTGTGTGTCTGTGGTGTGGGAGGGAATACTCATCAGGCACCTACTATGTGTCAGTGGCTGTTTTAGGCACCAGGAATGGAATGCCCAGAGTGCCTGTGGCAGTCACCACTTTTGGTGAATCAGTTAAAACAAGTGAGCGATCAATAAAATAATTAAATGAAGTGTTGTGAGAGAGATCAATGAAGGTTCTAGACAGAGACTAGAGAGGGTCTCAGGGAAGGCTTCTCAGACAAGCTGACCTCGGAGCAGACCTATAAGGTGAAAGGTCAGCCTTTTGCAGCCACAGACAAGCACATGTAAAGGTCTGCAGTTTAGGAGAGCTGGGTCTGTTTGAGAAACTGAAAGGCTGGTGAGGCTGGGATGCGGCAAAGGACAGTGGGTGTGAGAAGGGCAGGAGAGGAGGTGGGGAGCTCAGCAGACCTTCGCTGTCTTCCCTGTGGCCCCAGGAGTTGTGGATTTTAACTTGTCACTGACATATTTTAAGCAGGGAGTGACAGACATCCCTAGTACAGGAGAGGACAGAGAGAAAGTTTCTTGTGCACTTATGGGTCAGGCACTGAGCCAAGTATTTAATTTTTATGATGTTGTGGGACAGGAAGTATGATCCTCATTGTACAAGACAAGTAGAGTTTTGGAGAGGGAGTGACACTTGGATCAGATGGCTTGAGAAGTGGAGGGTGTAGGAATCCAGACCTAGGCCTGTCCAGCTCTAAACTGTTTGCCTCCTCACACTTTCACAAGGTGGTCCCCACAGACTGCTGAGGGAGATGTGATGTCTGCCTAGTTCCCACTCCTGAGGATCCCTTCCACTTATACCCGTTCTAAAGCTACTTTGCTTTTGAGATCTTTCTCAGAGGGCAGAGGAAAGCCACTTGCTTGGAAAGGCTCCCCAGAGCCCGGAGCCAGGAAGGGGGACTTCTTAGGAATTCCGCTGTCTCCTCCTACAAATGCAGCCCAGGATGGGAGCCACTATCCCAGGAGCTCACAGCCCAAAAACCTTGAAGTGAGCATGAGAACCCACAGGCCTCAGTGCCAAGTCTGCTCTCATAGCCTGCTGGTCTGTCCTGGTTCTGCTGCCTAGGGTCCCGCTGTCCCTGCCTCTGTGCCTAACCTGGGCTCTGCACGTGAGGGCTTCTGCTACACCCACCTTAGGTCTGTCCTTTTGCTTCATTTTATTTTTTGTGATACTGGGGATTGAATTCCTGGGCCTCATGCATGCTAGGTAAGTGCTCTACTATTGAGCTATCCTCAGCTTTTAGTCTAACACCTCCCCTCTCCCTGTACTGGCGATTGAACCCAAGGCCTGAGCTATATTCCCTCCCCTTTTTTAACATTATTTGAGACAAGGTCTTACTAAGTCGATGAGTTAACTATTCTGGGCTTGAACTTGTGATCCTCCTGCCTCAGCATCTGAGAGTGCTGTGATTACATGTGTATAACACCACTTTTGCTTCTGACCTTTTTAAATGTCCCTGCTCCAAACCCTGACCAGGCTTCTTTGGCCAGGGCATAATCCAGAGCTTCACCTGGGCCTTCCAAGCCCCTAGCTATCTCCTTCCCCTCTGTCCTCTGCTCCAGCCACACTGCTTGTCCCTCAGCACATGGGCCCAGCGTCTCTGCATTGCCGTGGTCCTTGCCTGGAGAACTACCTCCTCGATATGAGCAGTTTGGTCTCTCATGGCTGGGGTTTGTGCTCACCTGTCACCTCCTCTGAGATGTTCTCCTTGACTCCAAATCTGAACAACAACTGTGTCTTTCCTTATCTCTATCCCTGGCTTTAATTTTTTCCCACAGCATCTATTGGTGCCTGACACTGTATTTTTGTTGGTTTCTTGTCTGAATCCTCAGGTCTTTCAGAGCAGCTTGAACCCACTCACTCATAGCCGTGGAGGCTCAATAAACAGTTGACTCAATGAATCAGCCCTGAGGCCCTTCTTTTGGCTGGGATGAGACTCCCATCACCGGCCTGATGCCCTTAGCCCTTTGCTCAGCAATGAGCTCTGTCTCATTTGTCTCTGCGGACCCAGGGACAGGGCAGCATATGGTCTCCTGGGCTTGGGAGCTGCTGTCACAGTCGTCCACACACTGACCTCTTCAGTCTCACCTGGCTGGTGATTCCCTCTTATTACCACACCCAACTTGTCCAGTGGTCAAATGGATCTGAAATATATCCCAAATGCCGCCCTTCCCAAGCCAGGCTTCCCTACACCCCTGCCTATCCCAGCCCAAGCCAGGCTTCCCTACACCCCTGCCTATCCCAGCCTCCCTGACCTGAGTAAGTGGATTAGCCCTTTGCTCAGCAATGAGCTCTGTCTCATTTGTCTCTGCGGACCCAGGGACAGGGCAGCATATGGTCTCCTGGGCTTGGGAGCTGCTGTCACAGTCGTCCACACACTGACCTCTTCAGTCTCACCTGGCTGGTGATTCCCTCTTATTACCACACCCAACTTGTCCAGTGGTCAAATGGATCTGAAATATATCCCAAATGCCGCCCTTCCCAAGCCAGGCTTCCCTACACCCCTGCCTATCCCAGCCTCCCTGACCTCAGTAAGTGGCGACTCTAGCTTTCTGCTGATCGGTGGAGAGTCTCAGAGTCATCCTTGCCTTTTCTCCTGTCAGCCCTCACATCCCAGCCTTTAGTAGGCACTGCTGCAGAATATATCCAGAGAGCACAGCTGCTCCTCCTCCTTCTCAACAGCCCAGGCCGAGCACCTGTGCTGTCCCCTACCCATCAGCAGCAGCACCTGGTGGTCTGCTCGTGCCCAGCCCCACCTGCCTACAGTCCAGCTCCATGGGTCTTTTAGGACAAGTCTGGAGTGGGGCAGATCCACAAACACAAAATAGAACAGGGTGATGCTAACGGGTACAACATTTCTTTTGGAGGTACAAGATATTCTAAAATTGATTGCATTGGTAATGTACAACTCTGTGAACACACTAAAAGCTATTGCATTGTTAAAATTTTTCAAAAGCATAAAAACATATTTTTAATACTTGAAAAAGCCATACCACACATCTCCCCTGCTTAGAATGCTCAATGCCTCCTATCCTACTCTGAGTCAAAGCCAAGGTCATTCTGAGGACCTACAAGGCACTCCTGAGTCCCCACTGCCCACCAGACCTTTTCCTTCATCCCCTCTATCCTTCAACCCCTTGGGTCTGAGGGGCATCTCTAATGTCCCTAGAGTCACTGTGCCCTTCCTTTCCCACATCAAGGCTGTTGTTCTTGCTGTTCCCGCTGCTCAGAGCACCTTTCTGCCCTACATCCAAACAGTGTGCTCCTCACTTCCTGCAGGTCTTTATGCAAACAACACTTTTCCAGAGAGGCCTTTCCTGGTTAGGCTACCTTATTTCCAATATCACCACTGACACATCTCATTTCCATTCGTTGCTTTATTTTTTCCTCCTGAGAATGTATCTCCATTGGAAACTCTACATGTATTTCACTTGCTTGCCATATTTCCTGCCTGCCTTCCTCATTAGATGTCAGCTCTGCAAGGGCAGGAGTTTTGCATTTTGTCCAAGACAGTATTTCTGGTTCTGAACTGGCCTGACTCAGGGTGGGTGCTCAGAGTGTTTGTAGAATGAATAAGTGAGAGGAGTCAGACAGACAGTGCTCTGTGAGATAGGGCCATGAACTTCAGGGATCATCCTGGGGCTGGGAAGTTCTCCAGGAACCTCCTGGTTGCTACCCTCACGGAAGTGAGCCCACAGAAGGCTACTGGATGGCCAAGATACCACTATTTATTTAGGACCTGAATCATGGGACTATTTGGTGACTAAGATGATAGGCTCAGCTGAGTATGCAGTAGGAAGAACCCCAGGTTGTTCTCTGGCTTTCTGGGCTCCTGGGCTGGTCTCAAAGCTGTTAGGCGGACTTCCCAGTGATTCCGGTTGAATCACAGCTACTGAACCTGTGTTGGGGTTTGGGCTGGTGCCCCTGACCCTGTCAGCCATGTGGAAAAGACAAAGGCAAGTGGGCAGACTGAGGCACACAGAGACCAAAGGAGAGAGATACAGAGACCGAGTGAGACCCAGGAGGATCTTTGCATGGTGGAGATACTTTAAAAAATAAATTATGAAGGAGAAGCAGAGACATGGAGAAACTGAGGGAGAAGCTTAGACAGCTCTCTCTGGGCCTTGAAGGCAAGGTGTTGATGGGAAGCTGCTGGCTAGGGAAGAGAGAGAGTGTGAAATACAGTCCCTGTGTGCATGGGCTCTGCATCTGTGGATTTTGCCCACCATGGATCAAAATGCTTTGAACATGTCTAGACTTTTCCGGGTCATTATTTCCTTTAAAAGCCGAATAGTGATTCTTTACATAGCATTTATATTGCATTAGGTATTATAAATAAATAATATAGAGATGATTTAGAAATCATAGGAGGACATGTGTAGGCTTGTGCCAGCCCTGTGCCATTTCACAGAAGAGCATGTGTGTCTGTGGACACGCAGGGGAGGCTGCAACCAACAAGGGAACAATAGTGCTCAGCAAACTGGCCAAGGGGCAGTGACACAGGCCCTCACTCTGGAGTTCCCTGCAGGGTTTGGATGCTGCTCCTCTGCTATCTGGCTCATATTAGTGAAGGGTGGAACATCTTTGAGCCTCAATTTGCTCATCTATAAAATGGGGTTCTTGTAGAATCTTTCTGATACGGTTGCTAGGAGGAAGCACCTAGGACAGTGCCAGGGACATAGTAAATGGCAGCTGCGGTTAGGATTATCAGCGGGTGAGGAAGAGACATGATTTAACAGGCAAAAAGAAAACGAGGGCCAGGGATTTAGCTCAGTGGTCCTGCCACCTGCCTCGCAAGAGCAATGACCCGAGTTTGATCCCTGGTACCAAAAAGAAAAAGAAAAAGAAAATGAGATAAAAGCAGAGACAGAAATTGGGGGATGGGTGGAGGAACGAAGGCAGAGCAGGTTGAAAAGGTGGAAGAGTAGCCCAAAAGAGGCAGCAGGGAAAGCCAAGAGTGAGCATGGGAGGGAAGGTGGGCAGGGTGCAGGGACCTCTCCTGGGAATACTGGAGAGGCTGCTGAAGGGAGGGCAGGGGGGAGGCAGGAACAATGCCCAGATTCATGTTGGTCTCAGCACCTTCAAGCTGTGCCCAACACAATGTTTGGTACCCAGCGGGGCTTAGAGGTCTTGCTGGCCACCCCAAGAGCAGGAGTTATCCTGCAGGCATTGCCAAGGTTACCTGTGGAGCTGTTCCTGAAGTGCCTGCAGTTCACCATCTCTCACTCTCACCAGCTGCTCTTGGCACTGGGCCTGCTCCTCGGCCTTCCGGAGCCCAAGTCTGAGGCTCTGGAGGTAGAAGTGGGAGGGGAAGCTGAACAAGGAAGGCCCAGAAGCCAGGCTTGAGGCTGGCTGATGTACAGCCTTTGAGTCCCCAGGCCATGCCCTTGGGTGGAGGCAGGACTGGGGACAGCACTTGGAGCTGGGTGTCTGGCTCTGCGTAGGCCTTACCCCTAGGATCACCTGGGGCCACCTTTTCCAAAGTTCCAGGAGCTGGAAAGACTGGCTAGGGAGGAGGTTGAAAGAAGGGTTGCTAAAAGTCCTGGGTGACCTCCAGGACAATCAACTACCAGAGTGATGAGGTGGGGTCCGCAGCAGTGAAACTCAGAGACTGGGAAGACACCTGCCACGATGAGGGACACAGGAGAACAAGTGACTGCTCCAAGGAACTGTTGAGATGGGACCTCAAACTCAAATGCCAACAGGACCAAGCAGGAGGTGTGATAGACGAATATGTCTCCTGTGAGGCTCAGGGAGGAGGGGAACTGTGGTGAGCTGAAGAATGCATGGCTTTCACTAGGCATCCCCAAGCCCCACCCTGGAAGGAGCAGTCAAGGTTGATCTGTGGGCTGGAATGGCCCCGAGGCTACCACTGGGTACCCCCACCTGTGAGCCAGATTAGAGAAGGGAGACAGTCAGGTAGTGGTGCAGCAGCTCTCTCTCACCTTGACCACTTCCTGCAGGGGAACCTCTGCTTGCTCCTCTTTCCTGGCAACACCAGTCACTTCTGTTTGTTCTTGTGGCTGTTCTGTGATGGCAACTTCCTTAGTTCCCAGGTCCTGGAGAACCCAGGACTCCCCCAGAATGCTAGGCACCTCCCACCTTTGCCTGCTCCCTGATGTTGCTTCCTTCATCATTCCTCTGGGGCTGGAGGCCAGCGGAGCCTGGCCTTCATCCTGCTCTGCCTCTTCTCCATGAGCCCCCTCTGTTCTCTGAACCTCTGGACCCGGCAGAACCCTTCTGTCTTCAGCCTCCATTCCAGGCTTTTCCTTCTGGGCCTCTTTGGCTCTCTCTGGCTGTTGCTGGCTGCTGGCTGTTGAGTTCTCCAAGAATCTCCTACTCCTTGTGGCTCTGTCTTCCTGGTCTAGCTGAAGCTCCCCCTTTGGTTCCCAAGTGCTCCGGGGGGAACCAAGGCTCCTGGAATCTTCTGTCTTCTTTTCCAAGAAGAAAGAAAGATGCATGTGTTGCTGGGGCCTGGAGAGTCCAGCCAGTTGGTCTTTGGTTGTATCTCGCAGGCAGCCAGCTTGATTGGTACGTGGCTCCTCCAGCTGGACTCCTCTGGGGCCTCCGGATGCTGCTGAGATCTGCAGAGATGTCAACTCAGCATCAGTTCCTGACTTGGCGAGCTGGAGAGAGACCACAGCTTTAATCCAATAGGCTTGCTAAATATATGGAAATTTGGATATATCAGACCAGAAATAATTTTTGCAACACCTCAAGTGATCCAAGATCCCAGTTTTGATGTGGTGAGGGAACAGCCAGGTGTCTCAGTGTTTTCCCTCCTATATCTGACTTTTCTGATTTGATATTATGCCCCCTGAGTTCCTCCTACCCTTCTCCTTTAATCCTCCTCATGAACTCAACATTGTGTCTCAGCTTTCTCATCCACAAAATAGGAACAATACTTGGTTTGTAGAATTGTGATGAAAACTCAGAGACCCAGCTGGCTGACCTCTCGCAGGAAGCCTTCTTTGCTTTCATGTTCCTTCACCCCAGTCTGTATTACTACAGACGTCCCTCGGTACCCAGGGAGATTGGCCAGCAATGCAAGTAGATACCAAAACCCATGGATGTTCAAGTCCCTAAATAAAATGTCACATATTACTTAAGCAATCATCTCATTTAAATAATCTCCAAATTACTTGTAATACCTCATACAATGTACATGGTATATAAATAGTTATTTATACTGTACTGTTTAAAGAATAGTAACAAGGAAAATGTCTGCAAACATTCAGTACAGATATAATTATTATTATTTTTTTCTTTCATTGAGTCTATTGGTACATTTTAGGTATACAGCACAGTTACATTCATCATTGGGATCTTGTACCTTTACATGACAGGTATTGGCTCTCATTTTTTCCCCTTGTCCCTGCCCTCCATACAATTTTTTTCTGAATATTTTCTTTCTGCAGTTGGTTGAACTGTGGATGCATGATGCGGACCATGGATGCGGAAGGCTGGCTGCACATTTAACATGGATTGCAATGGCTCCTCTAGGACGTGTCTCCCCGAGCAGACCTTGGACTCCCTTAGGACAGAGACTGAGTCCCAGCATATTATGGCTGGAAGCTTGTGGGGTCTGTGTGCAAAGTACACATTCTTTCATTGTCTATTGGTACATTTTAGGTATACAGCACAGTTACATTCATCATTGGGATCTTGTACCTTTACATGACAGGTATTGGCTCTCATTTTTTCCCCTTGTCCCTGCCCTCCATACAATTTTTTTCTGAATATTTTCTTTCTGCAGTTGGTTGAACTGTGGATGCATGATGCGGACCATGGATGCGGAAGGCTGGCTGCACATTTAACATGGATTGCAATGGCTCCTCTAGGACGTGTCTCCCCGAGCAGACCTTGGACTCCCTTAGGACAGAGACTGAGTCCCAGCATATTATGGCTGGAAGCTTGTGGGGTCTGTGTGCAAAGTACACTTGTGGGATGGTAGTAACAATCATGATGGTACCCACAGGCAGCCTCACTCTGTGCTGCACATTAGCAGTCTCAACTCATCCTCTCGATCACCCTGTGAAGTAGGACAGGTAACTCGCTACACGGTGACTAAGGGAGGGAATGAGGCTTCCAGTCAGGCATCTGGCTGTTCAGTCACGCCCTGAACAGTCCATGCAGGGGCCTCTGTGAAGATGGTATCCCTGGGCTGTTTCCTGCAGGCTTCTAGTCATTTCCCTGCTCTGCCTCCTCCTGGAATCCCAGTAGCTTCTGCAGATTTCTTTCTTCCCCTACCTGACACTGCTACCAACTCAGGAACGTGAGTTCTTTCCTCCTTGCACTGCCTGTGCCCTGGTCCACACACTGGCTTCTTCCTCAATCCTGCTAGGGCTCTCTGTACACAGAGTAACCGGGAGGCTCAGTTCCTGCTGAATCTGGGCTTCCCAACCAGGTGGCCAAGAGGCAATGCAAGTGAAAGGGGCAGAAGTACCTTCTTTGGAGACTCTTTGGTCTTTCTAGGTCTTCTTCCCTGGGTCTGGCTAGAATTGTTACAGTGAGACCTGAAAATGAAAGAGTGAGGGGACCCTGATCATCTTTCCAGTGGTGGGCTTGCTCCTCAGAAGGAAAATGGTCATTCCAATCATCCCCACTCATCCCGTCACCCTTCTGGCCTTCCTGCTGTCCCACCTTATCCACCCATCCATCCATCCCAGGGATGGTGAACCTTTTAGAGACGAAGTGCCAAACTGTAACCCAAAACCCACTTATTTATCGTGAAGTGCCAACACTACAATTAAACCCGAATACTGAGGTTTTTAGCTTAGAAAAACAACTTCACATTAACATCCTTTCTCTTAAAAGACAAACACAATAACACATGTGCCACAGGTTCGCCACCCTGGATCTATCCCATCCCATCCCATCATCCCACCATCCATTGTCCTTCCAACCCTCCATGCCAACCATTTAGCCAGTCTCAAGTGACTGTATTCTATGCAGCATGAGATTACAGTGGGGAAACAAGGCTAGGGAAGTGGAGGATCAAGGTCAGGGAGCAGAAGGGAGGAAGAAATGGGTGGGCCTGGAAACTTCGAGCTTAGAGATTGCTCTGGATGGAAGGGGGCCGTGGGAGTAGGGGAGCGCTGCACCCACTTACTCTGAGAACATGGGCCAGGCCCCATCCAGGTCCTGCCTCTGCAGGTCCAAGTCGAAGGCCACGCCATTGAGAGCATAGAGAGAGTCCAGAATGTCTTCCTGGAGTTCGAGGCACAACAGAGGGCTCCGGGGGCCATACCATTCCCTGTGTTAACAGCAACAGCTTTGACCCAGGTGCTATGGCCACCCCCCAACCCCTGAGAATCAGCCTCTGCCATGTACCATATAGACCTTCCCCAGGTGGGGTATGGCCTTTGGGCACAAGGGTCCCAGGCACCATCCTGCTGCCCGCACCTGGTTCTGACCTTCCCCTGCCCTTTCCGCCCGACTTTCCTTTCTGACTCATGTCATCATCCTTGAGGCTGAGCCACCATGGCGTAGGGGCAACATGGGCTCAGATGGACTATTGGGAGGATGACCCGCAGTCCCACCTGGTGAGCTCTGGGCTCAGGAGGCAAAGCTGCAGGGACTCGGCCAGCTGCCCTCGGGCCAGGCAGGAGCGGAGGAAGGCACGGCCTTTGCCCAGGGAGGTCTTCAGCTAGAGTGCATAGGGAGCCAAAGAGAGGGCAGGATTAGGAGAGAGAAGACGGGCTGATTGTTGAGAAAGGGTTTGGGGGACTTGAAGGGAGGAAAGGGGTGGCTGAGGGCAGGGCCAAAGAGAGAGGAGGACCAGGTAAGGGGCACAGCCAGGGGAGCAGGGGTGGGCAAAAGAGGGGTGTCAGGAAGGCAGCACCTACTCCCGCCCCCTACTCTTGTCAAGGGCCTTGTGCCAGGGTGCCATTTTGATTCCCACCTTGGCCACAGCTACCTTGTCCTGCGAGGAGATGAAGCGGATCTGCTCCAAGTCCCCTCGTTGCCTCCGCAGAGCAGTGCAGAGGAAGTCCCAGTAATCCTTCTGAGGCCCCAGGAAGCTCTTCTGTTCCTTCTGCTCAAACTGGGCCAAGATGAGGGAGAGGAAATGTAGAAATGCTTCCTCCTAGAGCCCATTTCACATCCCAGCATGCCGAGCAGGCATCTGGGTGAGGAGAGGGCTTCAGCAGACAGACCCCGCCTCAGTGCTGGCTCTGCTTTCATGGGCTATGTGACCAGGAGCAGGGTGCTTGGTCTCTCCGAGCCTCAGTGTTTGCAGTCATTCATTCAGAAACTCTTCCTGGGCACTTACTACATGCCAGGCCCTGTTCCTGGGGACACAGCAATGACATCATAGAGCTTGCTTCTTGGTAGGGAGCACAGATAATGAACAGATGAAATAAGTACAGCATATGGTGTATTAGATGGTGACGAAAGCTTTGCAGAAAAATGAAAGCAAGAAAAGAGAATGGAAAGTGTGTGTGTGTGTGTGTTTTGTGAATGTTGCACATTGAAAATTTAGATTAGGCAACCAGAGAAAACCTCCAGATTGGAAGAAAATTGGGGAACGTGTGCCATGCAAATTTCTGGGGAAATAACATTCCAGGCAGAGGGAATGGTGAGTGCAAAGGCCCCAAGCTGGAGAGCAGCAGAGGTGCAGCAGTGGCAGGCAATGAAGTCAGAGAAGTATGAAGGATGTTTGTGTGTACACAGGGGAGGCCATTGAGCACCTCACAGAGTTAGAATGAGGATTAAGATGGGAGCTGCGGTGCACACCTATAATCCCAGCACTTGGGAGGCTGAGGCAGGAGAATTGTTGTGAGTTCAAGACCAGCCTGGACTACACAGTGAGACCCTGTCCAGAAAAAAAAAAAAAAAAACAAAGAGAACTAAATAAAATAGGGCAAAAAAAGGACTTAGTCTGGCACATAGTAAATGCTTGCAAAAAAGCTAGTGATAGTTACGATTTGGGCTATAACCAGCAACAAGAAGCACCAGTTCTGGGACATCCACACCTCTGAAGATTTAGTTTTCAAAGCAAGGTGGCCATCCCCGTACCTAGGACCCACCCAGCTTTACCCCATTTCCTTTCCTAGGCTGCAGTGATAGCTTCCAGGAGGGAGGGCTTGCTGACTGAGGTAGGTGAGGTGGTACACAGCACCCAAGGTAGGCAGCCATCATCCCTTGTATCTGGGAAAGCCCTCCTGGTTATCCAAGCCTGAAGAGTGGTGGGGGGAGAGGGCAGGAAGAGGGAGGGGAGGGGGGAGAGTAGGGAAGGGTTGGTTGGTGTCACCTGCAGGAGAAGCTCAAGGCAGCCACAGAGTCTGTGCAGCTCAGCACTGGTGTCCATTACTGGCCCCTTCCCATCACCATAGCCCTGGAGGATGGCAGAGACTGCAGCTGCAGGGGGTGGCAGACAGTAGACACCAGGGAGTGAGGCCTCTGAAGGAAATGTTTCTTTTTTTTTTTTTTGAGACAGGGTCTCACTGCATAGTTGAGACTGACCTGGAACTCACTATGTAGCCCAGGCTGGTCTCAAACTCATAGGATCCTTCTGCCTCAGCCTCACGGGTGCTGGGATTACAGGTGTGCACCCCCCCCCGGCCTGAAGGAAATGTTTCTGATGCACCTTGCTTCTTCTGTGACTCTCTCAGGTCCTACTCACCTTTCAGGTCCCTGGTGACCTTGAGGGTGGCCCCTTCTTTTGCCATGGGTATCGGAAATGATGCAAGTCCCTGTGACTTCGAAGGCAACCCAGGAAGGACCTGTCGTGTTTAACTGTCCAGATCTCCTACATGAAGGAGCAGTCAGAAGATGGTGAAGGAACATGACTTATCTAGGGTCACAGCCAAGCTCAATAGCATTATGAAATGTCCAACTCCTTGGAGGATAGTGTGTGAAGAAAAAGGAATGGCATCTTACTGGGCAGTCCTTGTGCACAATGCTTGGCATCCTTGTCTCATTCAATTCCCACAGCCCTAAGAGGTTATTAGCTCCCTTTCATCCAAGGTGAGTGGGGCAGCCTCAGAAGGGCCCATCACCCTTGAGACCCACATTCATCCTTTCCAGGGACCCAGCTGAGTGGAAAAAGTGTTTCTCAAGGAGAAGGAGGCAGGAGAGTGAGGCCTCAGAGTCTGGGCTGGGTGCTGGGAGTATGGGGAGGAAGAAGGACGCCTGGTTTTAATCTGCTGTGCTCTCCCAGGGGACTCAGCCTGCTCTCCGAGTGGGTCCTGGAGCTCAGAGAGGGACATCGTGGCCCCAGTGATTGTTGGGCTGAGCCCAAAATCCTGGAGTCAAGACCAGGCATGGGGTGGAAAATCTGGGTGTTCTGCCTCCCAGGATAAAGGCAAATGAGTGAAAAGCAGAGGTGAAAGAGGGAGGAAGGCAAGAGAGGAGGAGGTGGGGGTAGGAGGATGGGGAGGGAACAAGGGGGAAGCTGCATGCAGGGAGCCCAGAGTTTGGAGTCAAGAGACCTGAGTGCCCATGCTGGCCAGCTACTCACTCTGCATTTGGGCTAGTCACTCACCTTTCTTGGGCTTTGGCTTCCTCATCTATAAACCATGGGATTGGACTGAGGGTCTCTGTAGCCCCTTTCAGATCCTCTGTGAAGTCTTTCCCCCTTCCTTTGCATCCCTCCCTCTTCCCAGCCATCCCCAAGCCCCAAGACCCTTGCTGCTGCTCACCTGGGAAGGCCTGGCTGCTTGGGCCCGGAGAACAGGGCTCTGTAGCCTGAGCCTGTCACCAGCCACTGTGGGCCCTGAACAGAACTGTGGCTTATGACGTGACTCAGACACAGGCCAGCACCCTGGAGGGGGAGGAGCCAGGCCTGCCAGGGAGAAGTAGTAGAGGCAGGATCAAGGGCACTGGGGCAGAATGGGTGATCTGGGGCAGGGCCACCTGTTGGCCAAACACAGACACATGCATGGCAACAAGCAATCGGTGCTGCTCAAGTTTCCTTTTGGTCACCTGTATTTCCTCCTTGTCACCACCAGATGGCATAAAAAGGCTGAGGTGCTAGCTAGCACTTTCCTTCCAAATTGTTTTCTCAGTGTCACTTGGCTGGAGTGTGCCACAGTATGGCACAAGGTAAAGGGTCCCACCTGTTCCCTCCTCCTCTCCACTGTGGCCTGCTCAGGGGTCCCTTAGGGCTAGCACCAGTGCCCTCCTCCGGGTAACCCCTCCTCAAGAAAGGGAAGAGAAGCTTGGGGATACGCCTGTCCAGCAGGGGCCCAGGTGGGTCGCCTGGTGGGCTGTGGCCCAAGGTCCAGCCCTGCTCTCCCGGAGCCACTGGTCTTTCCCCTCTTTCCTGTCTGGGCTGCCCGTGGTAGTAATTGGGGACAAAATAGAGGGCATGAGCGGTTTTCACAAATCCCAGGAACCTCCTGGGGTGGCACACAGAGGTGCCCCAGCCTGTCTGTCCTCTTCCCCCCTGCGGGTCTCCCCTAGAGGAGGCTCTGCGTCTCTGTCTCAGTCTCTCCGTGTCTCTCTCACTCTCTTCCCTCAGCTGTTTCCTCCGGCCCGTGGGTCTCTCTCTCTCTCTCTCTCTACTCCCCCTGTGCCCTCGGGTCTCCCTCTGTCACTGGCTGCGTCCGGGAGTCCGTGTCACCGCCCCTCGGCGGGCCCCGCACTTGCAGCTTCCTGGCGGTGCAGCGGTGGCAAAGGAGCGGACTCTGCAAGGGCCGGGCTGGGGGCGTCACAGGTCCCCTCC